CAGCACATAGCAGTGGAGGGAGGGACAGCTGAACTGCCCGGCCAATTGATAGCCTGCTGGGTGGCTGCCGCACAAGGAACTTAGGGAAGCAGGGAGCTGATGGGGGCACTGCTGGTCCACCCTGACTTCAAGTCCCCACCAACTAGCTCTAACGGGCTGCTCTTTCTGCAAGCAGTGGACAAAGCAGGCGGCTGCCAAACAATGTTATAAGGGAGCATTGTGCAACTTTAAACGACCATGTTCTCTAATTGATCAGTAATGTAACAACGAAACAACGTTAAACGGGATGACGGTAAGTGAGGAGTTACTGTATTACCCTGTAACAGTTCCATGGGCATTACATCCTTCCTACTACAGGCCCCAATCCTGCAAGTTGTTCAATTGGCTCTGTTCAGGCATGGGTTCCACCTAGGAAGAGCCCAAATGAACTACTTTCAGCACTGTGGCCTAGATCAGAATCCTGGATTACTTATTTTGCTAAGACTGCCATATTATTTATATCTCAGAGCACCTCTAATAAAAATATTATGTATTTGCTCTAGGAAGAATTATTTATGTACAAATAAAATGATCCATCATATTATGTAGGCACCAGTCTTGACTCCATAGTTAAGGATGAGTTCATATCATACATATCGCAACAAAAAAAATACATCAGTTGATTACTGATAACTTCATAGGCCATCAGATTATTGTTTCTTTGAGGTCCAGGATCTGTAAGTTTAGTTTCACTTATTTTGAAAATGAAGTAAACAGAAAGGTAGAGGGAAAAATCTTCTCAGACCTTCTTTACACACTATGAAAAGGTAAAATAGGACACAAGTCAATTTAAAAATATCTTTTCCATGTTACATTTAATGTTTACAATTTCAGTTTTGTATTTTGAAAAAAAACTATAAAACCAAATATTAATGTAAATTTAATTAATATTTTTAAATGAAAAAAATGCCTTTTTCGGGAAGTAAAAAATGGCCTTTGTAATGCTGGAAACAGCACACAAGAATCAGAAAACAGTTTAGTCTAAGACAAGGCTTATGCAAAAAGAAAGACCGTAAAATGATGAAAATGAAATAAATTTTTTTTTTAGTTATTTCAATAAAACACAAAAGTTATTAGTAATACGTGTAAACTTTTTTAACAAATAAAATTTGGATCTCAGGAATGTTCATTTAAATCCCGAAAGGGAATTAATAGCCTTACACAAGGCAAGTAAATTTGCTTTCTTTGAGACTATTTAAAGCTCAGAGAAATTCACTTTCTTTTCCATTTACTCTGCAAATTCAGGCCCAGCTCCTGCTGTTGACTATATTTGGGCACACCCTCGCCTCCACATTGAGCCCTACTGAAGTCAGTGATAGGTTACACCATGCATAGTCAAGTGCAAAATTGGAGGGGTTCAATGATCTAGAGGAACTGGAACAATACCAATTTTACCACATATATTAAACTCACCTATAATCACACACTAAAGATTGAAAAAGTCATTAAAAATATATACTCTGATGTAAAATGGCTCTTACTAAGACACACGCCACTGAACTTTACAGTATGGTTTTCCCAGTTATCTGAACTGGGTTACAGATGAGCTAGTGTACAAACAAATCATACAGTACCTGTGAGTCCCTGAAGTACATCTCATACTGCTGTATCATCTGCCTGCTAACCATGCTCCCATGATATACCACGACATTAAGATCAGTCCACGTGCGAAATTCTCTTTCCCAATTGGTTATAGTGGAAAGTGGAGCTATGATCAGGAAAGGCCCTCGTATACCAGTCAGGAGGATTTCATAGAGGAATGTAATTGACTGGATGGTTTTGCCAAGACCCATTTCATCTGCTAAAATGCAGTTTCGTCTGAAATTACAAATATATTTATTATTAGGCTAGAGGGAACCATAAATGTTGCTCTTTTACTCAAAAGGACAATATCTGAAAACAATTAAAGTTAATAAAAATATAAGTCTAAAACAGATAATCAAACTGAGACAGTGCAGAATAGGCTCAATGGTATTCCTCCAAATGTAATAAAAGCATGAAACTGGGTACCCACCCAGAGGTCCAACTGTACCTTTTGATGTAAAAACCGAAGAGGCAGTTCAGGAGGAGGAAAACTCCACAAGATTCCTCTTGCAGAGTTTTCTCCAATTTTCTCTCTCATGGCAGTGTCAGCCTAACCACCGTCCTCCCAGTAGGAGTAGGGATTTGGGCTACAAACCACAGATTCCCTGGATTTACTGGAGGTGAAGTCCTGTGATTCTACATCAGCTCCTGGCTCTGTGCATATTCTGTGGAGGACCCAGCACATGGGGGAGGGGTGAGTGCCATGATTGGAAGATCCCATCTGCACCCAGATATAGGACCTATGATATCCCCATTTCCAAATTTTGGTCACTACAATTAAGACAACAGGTTTAAGTCCCCCAGTGCTAGCTTATTAATATGTGTAACATCCCTATGTCTAAGCTCCTGGAAATGCTATAAATATATGCATTTCCTGATGTTCTTTCTTCAACCTGTTTGTCCTTATGTGTGCTTCATTATGGTTTGAGGCACAGAAGCCAGCAGTATAGAGACCCCCACCTGTTCCTTCCACAGCTCCATTCTGTGCTATAAATGTTCAAAATCCTGCTGGTAACTTATTGCTGGATCAGTCTTGGCTTGCCCCCAACCTCCTCCCTCTTCTAATGTTTTTTACTTCCCCTTTCTCTGGTACTCCAATAAGCAAGGGTATGACCCTTTTGTCTTCCCTGCATAAATGATGTACTGGTGATCTGTGCACTTCGCTGTCTTCCAGGATCCAGCTTCCAGTAAAGTGCAGTGTTTAGGGTTTAGTTAAGTGAAAGAAATATTAATAGAACTTTTTGTTTGTTTGATTGTTAGTTAAAATAAAATCTCAAGGACTTGCAAAAGGATGCACGTATCCAGGCTGACAACCTGTATACCAAATTTCAATCGAAAGCCCCTTATGTATTTTTCTAGGTTTAACTTTTCCGCTTAAATACAGAAAAGTCAATGCAAATGAAACTAAGGCACTATTCCTTCACTATAATATTGCAATCCATTTTACCTATAACACATGCTGAAATTTACATCAAAATGTTTAGTGCCCTTACCTATTGTACCAGTTGAAAAGGAGCCAGTTGAGTCCTTCCAGTTGGTATTCCCTGAGCTGGTTGCCATTTTTATATTCTCTGGACTGTTCTATCTTCTTCCAGGAATTAGGAGGAGGTCGGTCCTTAAAGGAAAACCAAAAATATTTTAACTAAGCATAAATATTTTCCTGTTTCCAAAACATTGCTGTACTCAGTTTTCCTTACAGAGTGACTTGAAGGATTCTGAGTCTGCTTGTTTTTCTGTGGTTGTGAAGTTTCTTGTTATTGTTACTCTCTGTTGATTAAATTAACTCATGAATGTGAATTTACATTTATTTATTACACAGATGCCTAGAGATCATGAAGAATGCTTTATTAATTTGAAAAACAAATTAAAATAAAATGTAACTGACTTTTTAGAAATAAATGCTAATGGTAAAAAGAATTAGGTAACAGATACATAAAACACCTCTGGAAAATGGTGACATTTTAAACAAGTACCAGAAGAATTAAGCAAGATACTAGCAAAAGAGGCTAATATGGCCTTCAGAAATAAAGAAATAAAATGCAAAGCCTGCACATTAAGCAGTAAAAAAACCTGACTGTACAAAAAGTCATGCGCCCTCCCCACCCGCCGATTATTTATTTTGTCATAAAATACAATCAGAGTTTTACTATATATATTTTTTATAGTACGTTGTGACAATGACATATATGGCTTCTCTTTGAACAAAAGTAATTTATTTGTTGTACATAATTTTCTTCCTATTAAGTTTTTCATTTGTTCAATTATTATCAAGAGGAGAAAAATAAGTCAGAAAATAGCTATGGAGTATATTGTGACAGTTATGCTGGCGTGGAAATGCAAGACCTAATTATCTCTCTGTTCATTTTAGTTGTGGATTTCTCTACAAAAGTGTTTAATCTACTCATCTTTATAAGTTCTACAATGGTAATTTACTTTGTATTACCCATCTCTTATTTTAAAGCTTTGCAGAAAGTTATCAGAATACTTCTTTAATTTTTTCTGATTAATAAAGTTAAGTATTTTACTAACAGCTATATATGCAGGCAGTAAATGAGAATAGGAACATTTACAGTAGAACCTCAGAGTTACAAATACCAGAGTTACGAACTGACCAGTCAACCACACACCTCATTTAGAACCAGACATACCCTATCAGGCAGCAGCAAGACAGCACCCGCCCCTCCCCCCCAAAAGCAAACACAGAACAGTCCTGTTTAACGTAAACTACTAAAAAAAAAATAAAAGGAAAGCAGCATTCTTCTGCATCGTAAAGTTTCAAAGTTGTATTAAGTCAATATTCAGTTGTAAACTTTTGAAAGAACAACCATAATGTTTTGTTCAGAGTTAAGGACGTTTCAAAGTTATGAGCAACCTCCATTCCCAAGGTGTTCATAACTTTGAGGTTCTACTGTATGCAAAATTAACTGAGAATGTCTTGTCTGGGTAATAGGGTGAAGACCTACTGTAATAGGTCTGTGAACCTTATCTGCAGCTTTGGAGGCAGAAAAAGAAATGTCTGTCACTGGCAGGAAGCGGATGAACCAGTCCTTGATGACCCAGCCAGTTCTGCCTCCTTAAGTGCAGGCAGACAGTTCTAGACTCTCCCTGACGCAGAATATACCACATCTGTGGCCTTAACATATAAAAGAGAGCAGTGCTGCAAAGAGCTTACTGCATAACTCAGAGTATTTTCAGTACACCTTACAGATTTTCAGTGAAACTTGTACGATATTTTAATACAAACAGTTGAAGCTTTAAAGCTGGAAGGGAAAAATCCTATTTGACAAATTAGGTATATTTTTACCAATCTCCTTGAGTCAGGCCTGGAAGCTTGCAGTTGTTCAAATTCTTCTATTTTTGCCTGGTCTACATCTTCTTTTAACTCCCAGGTGCTGTCTTCGTATGGCAATGAACACCATTTTACTAGGTAGTAAATAACAGGCTGCAGGAAAAGAAATCCTTAATATTAGCAATTTGTGTACTAAGGACTTGATGCAGAAATTACTGGGTGAGTTTTATGGCTTGAGTTTTGCAGGAGGTCACACTAGATGGTCATAATGGTCTCCTCTGGCCTTAAAAAAATGTCTATGAATATGTGACTCTTACAGCTCAATTTAACGTCCTCCATTCCCTTTACACACTTCTCTATTTTTGTCATCTCATGCTTCTATTTTGACTAAGTTTTTAGAACATTAATTTTGTATTTTATTCTTCTCTAAATACCCAGTACACCTAGGCTTTTATTATTATTTTTATTAATAGTACAAAAAATGAAAAAGCACTGCATTCTGTAGAGTTTCTATTTTCCTCAGAGGGCTCAAAATACATATTGAACAAAAGGAGTGACAAGCTTATATACACACACAAATATTTCAATCAAAACCATTGACGAAACTCACATCATTAAGATTTTATTCTGCACTCCACTAAAATAAAAACAGGTGATACAACCACAAAACACAGAGCATTTGTGTTTTTGGCTTACTTCAAGTTACGTTTGGTCAAATATTTACCTCACCAGTGTCCTTATCTTCACAAAAGGAGACTTCTAGCACCCGGTCCACTTCAACGTAGTCAGGATTAAAAGGTTCTTCTTCCATCTGCAATTCAAGAGTAATATAAATAGTAATCTGGGGTTATGTGGTGAGGAGACCAGTGCTGCTGTGATTTAATACACCAGATTTTACCTCTTTAGATATAAATATGAGTAAGCAGTCTCAATCTAATGCCCGTGAGCTTTCGTCCACATTATCCACCTCAGAACCACTGCTCTGCTGTGATACCTACAGAAAACTTGACAATGGTTAGGCTGCTGGTATGTGGAGAGCACAGCCTATCATGCTGACCAATTTTGTCTGTTTCCTTGTTCTCCCTCAGTCTGCCTATATCCATCTGTTGTCTCTTATCTTATACTTAGATTGTAAGCCCTTTGGGGTAGTAGCTGTCTTTTTGTTCTGTGTCTGTACAGAGCCTAGCCAGGACCATGGAGTTCTGGTCCATGACTAGACTCCCAGGCCCTACAACAACAGAAACAACAATAAAAACAACATCACTAAACAATTAGAAAGACAACTGATGCCACAGAAAGACCTAGCTCAAGAACAGAAGAAGTGTTGTAATTTAGGACTGAAGTACACGGACATAACTGTGTCAGGAAGTTTGCACTATACAGTCCTATCCATACTCTGCCTGTCTGTCAGTCATCAATAGTATCAGTCTCTCATGATCACAAAGTTACCCAATTAATCCTGACTTTAAAAGACAAGTATTTAAGTAATTACAGGTGACATTCTTTTGCATCAAATAAATTTTAAAAAAGACAAAAATTCAAGACCCTCTTTTTATTTAGCATTAAAATTCAACCGCGTAATTCAAAATTGTAAAGCTTTTGGCAAGCAAAAAAGTTTAATTTACTATGTATTTTTCTTACATCTGCAAAAAAGTGGGCTCTTTGTGCTTGCCTCAGCTTGAACCGTTTAATTTTCTGCTGGATTCTTTTATCCTTCAAAAGCTGCTGTTCTGTGGCCCATTCACAGTGAAGATAGGAGCTAAAATTACAAAACATTAAGTTAACATATTATTACAAGAAAAGTTTTTCTACTTATTTTATCCTACAGTTCCCACAATATGCAATCATCAAAAGAGGACAGCAATGTGTCTTTACATACATTTTTATGTGCACAATATGTTCTACCATTTTGTTCAGTTTATTCCCCCTCCTTCGACATACATTCACTTTAGATTGACCCCATGTGGCTAAGGTACCCTTAATAAATAACATATCAAACACCTTTTCCCTCTCTAGAGCTCAAAAGACATTTTAGGCCCTAATTCTGCAATGTGTTGCATATGGAATGATCTCAGCAAGCGCATGGAACCCCAGTGAAGTTAACGGGGCTCCATACAGCTGCAGCAGTTCACCCACACACCTCACTTTGCAAGATCAGGGCCTTTGTTTACACAGTGATAAGATAATTAACATCTTAATAGAAATAGCTTATTAATAAAAAAATTCTCGCCGAGTAAGTTTCAGTTCTTTTAGTGAGAACATTTTTAAACCGCAGAACATCTGGGCCCCAATTCTGGAGGTTTACACTGAGGAGTAACAGTATGATGAGATTATTCACATGCATAAAATTAAACACGTGCTTTAAGTCTTTACAATTTAAAGATCTTAGTGATGAGAGGAAAGGGGAATAAGCCATATGAAAGAAGACTTTTTTTCATCATCAACCCTTACTATTTTCCATTTTGGATTCAAGTTGATCATGGTGGATAACCTTTGTACACTTTATATGGTTTTGTTTCCTATGGGCAGAACTCCTTTTACTTTGTTACAAGAACAAATTCCGTGGCAAGCCCGAATAAATTCTACCACGACACCCATGGATTTGATGGCAATGTTAATTTATTCTATGTCCAGGAATTACCTTTCATTTCTGTACTCCCCTCCAAACACACCCTTCTGATTCATAGTTGAAAATACTAATGTAGAATTTGTCAGTTACTATTTTTAGCGACTACTATGTTTTATGATACTTTCTCCCAAGTTTTCTTGGCAGCTTATCTCCATAGCCTCAACAATTGTGATGGCATCCAGGTGGTCCAGTTCAGAACATCCTCCCCACTCTAAGTGCCCTAGGAAAAGGGGGAGGCTTGTAGCTAGCTTCAGTTGATCCTCTCTTTGTTTTCCCTAGTGGCAGCCTAGCTCACTAGTCTGCACTTCAGCTTGCACCCACAGAACAAAGGTTGAACCAGAAGTTCAGATTGGGTTCCCCAACTCCATGTTGCATGGCTCCAAGGAAAAGGGTAAGGAATATACACTGTATCCAATTAACTCCCTGTTACAGGGAAAGCTGGAAATCAACAGGCAGCTGCTGGCAGGACCCAACAGGGCAAAGCCACAGGTAACACACTGTGGGAACTTCTGTAGCCAAAATGCTGAATTCACTGAATTCCCAAATTCTGTGGGAGCAAAAATTATGTAGTACAGAAGGGCCTTATTTAACATGATGCAGCACTTCACATATCCTAAAGCTTGTTTCAGGCTTTCTACAAACTCAGGAAGACAACACTTGTGGTATACCTTCTGTTCACATATTTATGTTTTCTCCACAACTAGAAGAGCTAGAAACATTTTTTCTTAATGAAAGCTGATATTCAGGAATACTTGGCACTTAATGAACATTTTAAATTTTCATTTTTTTATTTAAATAAGAATGCTATTTTATCTGAATTTGAAAAAAAAGCAAACAAAACGTTGTTCATTGTGCCTCTATGAATCCAATCATCCAATCTATACTCTTAGCAGTTACTTAATATCTCTGAATAAAATTCTTACCAATTGTGAAGTGCTGAATCACAAAGGCAGATGGGTTTTGGGAGGACAAATTGCTTCAGATTTACTTAATATAAAACCAATTAAATTAAATTTAACGTCAGGTAAGTACCTCTTGCTAAATCTGACCTATATGAAAACTCACCTTGTGGTCAGAGATTGAAATTTTTAAAAATAATTATTATCTTTTCAAAGTTGTCATTCCTAGACAACATTGCCACTACTGTAAACTGGTTTTATTATAGGTACAAGCACCATTGATAATTTGTGTGTAAGAACTGAATAAACTGTAATTTACATTTTTAAAAATGAATGGGAGTACTTGCGAAGAAAAAAAACAACTCAAACATGAGGGAAAGTGGCAAAATCTGGCCCTAAATGTTTTTAAAAATGTTTCTAACTGATGCAACCTATAATTCATAAATGGGATAATATCTAACTAGAAGACTTCTTTTGCTTTTTAAGTAACCAACTTGTACAAACAACTATAATACTTACTAGTTCTTGTATTTTACAAAAAATTCTTCTTCTTCCATTGTCATTCCAGCAGATATCTAAGACAGTAAATTCAAGATTTTTTTAGACTCATGGACATTTAAAGCACATCTTAGAATAAATAATTCCCTTGTGCACACACCACCCTCATTTTAGTCACAATTACTCACTTCTTTCTTCACTATCCTGGAGGATAAAATTTTATCTACAATTGCTGCATCTTCTTCACTTGGATTCTCCTAATAAATGTGGAAAAATAATTAAATGATTACAGTCAGTACTAGGCAATCTCTTTAGAGATGTGTAAGGCTGAAAAAGCCTGGGGAACACAGTGGTACGTTAAAAGGCCAGTATGTACTGCAAAAACAGTTTCTTTTTCTCTTTTCTTTAATGTACATAAACTTTCTGTTTCCTTTCAGCCAGTGACAAAAATCTTTCAATAAATCTTTCCATTGACTGGTTATTAACTTGTCACTTTGTTTATTTCAAAAAAAATCCAGATGAACACAAAATCTGTATTTTTTAAAAATGTATTCTAAAGTAATCATTGTACCTTTTACTTTGATGAGGTCAATTCAATCCATTTTCTGTACCATGTATAAAAAGAGCATAAGAACGGCCATACTGGGTCAGACCAAAGGTCCATCCAGCCCAGTACCCAGTCTGCCGACAGTGGCCAATGCCAGGTGCCCCAGAGGGAGTGAACCTAATAGATAATGATTAAGTGATCTCTCTCCTGCCATCCAACTCCACCCTCTGACAAACGGAGGGTAGGGACACCATTCCTTACCCATCTTGGCTAATAGCCACTAACAGTCATGAATTTAACAGCCATGAATTTATCTAGTTCTCTTTTAAACCCTGTTATAGTTCTAGCCTTCACAACCTCCTCAGATAAGGAGTTCCACAAGTTGACTGTGCGCTGCGTGAAGAACTTCTTCCTTTTATTTGTTTTAAACCGCTGCCCATTAATTTCATTTGGTGGCCCCTAGTTCTTATATTATGGGAACAAGTAAATAACTTTTCCTTATTCACTTTCTCCACACCACTCATGATTTTATATCCCTC